TTAGAATGCAAAAATGCATAATTATTTTTCATGCAAAATCAAATTGTTAGCAGATCATCATCTGATATGGGTTGGAGTGAGTTGGAACTCAAGCAGTGATGTATAATCTATTTGTCAATAAACCCAAAAATTAAATAATAAAAATTTATTGATGTAATTATTTGTCTCCAAGCTTTGACCTCTTGGATAGTTTTCTGCAGTCATTTGCAGCGGCAATTTTTTCCATGGCATTTTCAGACCACAAGACTATCATTAATATCCATGCACTCATAATATTAAGGCACCATTTTCCGGTAACTGGCCATGTTGTGTATGAAATGTGATAATGCATTCTTGTTGTTGCACATATAAATGCTCAAATAAAGCATTTGATAAATTACAGTTTTTTGCTATTCCATGTGGTGAGAAATTGTGAAGACGAATTAGATGGCTACAAAATATTTAGATTAGAATGTTTCCAGAAAACAATTTATAAAGTTTGTGAGGTGAGTTTATAAGTTTTTATACTTGTATTTTAATTCTCTAAACAATTTATATTACAAAATAAAATTAATAATAAGGAAAGATACTATTTTAACATGATTAAAGTAATTAATTACTGTGCAGAGCTGCGCTTAGGCAAAGACAAGTGGGGCACTTCACCTGGTGCCTTGTGCTTTAATGACGTAATTAAATAATAGTCAACGTCACTTTTGGTTACAAATTATTTAAATATATTTTCTAAATTATACTGTAAAATGTCTTTCTTTTGACATGAAATGAACTCTTGCTGTTTACATACAATGAATAAACAGTGATATTTTAAAGAGCTTCACTAAATTGTATCCCATATAATCTATGTTCATGTCTGTTGCTGCTTTATAGAATATTCCTAACATAATATAGAATTGTATTCAATATTTTATAAAAATAATACATAGACTAAAGTAGAAGTTACTTTTAGATAGTTTGCATGTATGCATGCATTCACATCATTTGTCTAAATGTAATTTCTACCCACACTAAATAAATAAGTTTAATTTGTAAAATAAATCAATGTTGATGTAAACTTTGTAATGTTATAAGTCTATTAAGAATAAATTTGAAAGTATTTAGTAACATTCTGCAAAATGAAATACTTGATAATGTAAAAATGTTCATTTTTGCAGAGTTTGAGGATCTCTGTTCATAAAATTACTTTGAACTATGACAAGTTTGATATTAAACATATTTGCTTTTACGCATGAAATGTTCTCATGAGAGTAGAGTATGAAGATTTGCTTAAAGTGGAAGCTATTTGGGTGCAAATTTCTATACTGATCCAGCTTGTTTTAATATACATAACATTATACAGAAAGTATGCTTTACGTGTAGAAAGGTAAGAATTTGAAACAAAAGTAAACAGTAAAGTGAATGTTCAATTGAACACAAAGACAAACTCCATTTAAATACAGAGCAGTTTGACAAATACAAGCACAATAATAAACAGATGTAATTTAATTGCACTAACCAAAGCAGCAGATATGATTGCTTGGTTGTTGGGCTGCAATTCGAGAATATTGTAGACCTATAAATTTCTACAAAATCTCTTTCCTTAATCTCGAGAACAGAGTTAGACAGACAATTAGATAGATGACATTCGAGACCAGATATGGAAACTTTAGTGGCAGGAGGCCCCCTATTAATACTTGATTATATACCGATTTCAATTTAAAACTTTTCACNACTAAATTGTATCCCATATAATCTATGTTCATGTCTGTTGCTGCTTTATAGAATATTCCTAACATAATATAGAATTGTATTCAATATTTTATAAAAATAATACATAGACTAAAGTAGAAGTTACTTTTAGATAGTTTGCATGTATGCATGCATTCACATCATTTGTCTAAATGTAATTTCTACCCACACTAAATAAATAAGTTTAATTTGTAAAATAAATCAATGTTGATGTAAACTTTGTAATGTTATAAGTCTATTAAGAATAAATTTGAAAGTATTTAGTAACATTCTGCAAAATGAAATACTTGATAATGTAAAAATGTTCATTTTTGCAGAGTTTGAGGATCTCTGTTCATAAAATTACTTTGAACTATGACAAGTTTGATATTAAACATATTTGCTTTTACGCATGAAATGTTCTCATGAGAGTAGAGTATGAAGATTTGCTTAAAGTGGAAGCTATTTGGGTGCAAATTTCTATACTGATCCAGCTTGTTTTAATATACATAACATTATACAGAAAGTATGCTTTACGTGTAGAAAGGTAAGAATTTGAAACAAAAGTAAACAGTAAAGTGAATGTTCAATTGAACACAAAGACAAACTCCATTTAAATACAGAGCAGTTTGACAAATACAAGCACGATAATAAACAGATGTAATTTAATTGCACTAACCAAAGCAGCAGATATGATTGCTTGGTTGTTGGGCTGCAATTCGAGAATATTGTAGACCTATAAATTTCTACAAAATCTCTTTCCTTAATCTCGAGAACAGAGTTAGACAGACAATTAGATAGATGACATTCGAGACCAGATATGGAAACTTTAGTGGCAGGAGGCCCCCTATTAATACTTGATTATATACCGATTTCAATTTAAAACTTTTCACTCGAAAAACATTAGACAGATGACAGGTGCGACTCCATTTGCTAACAAGAAAAATATGACCTACAGGGTTAAGCCACTACTAATTTGAGATAGAAATCATATATTTTAAATTAATTTAATTAAAAATTGCACAATAAATAATTGCTTGTTTTAGAAATAATAATTTTCTTTGTCAGTCCATTTTATATGCAATGCCACTTTCTAGTGACTTTAATTCACTCTCCTTAGCAACAATCCCCCCATTAAAATCAATGTTTGAACCCACAGACTAGAAACAATGTCTTTTCAGATGCATTCATTAGATAGATCACTGCATATATTTTTTAATTAAAAAGACATTTTATCTTTAGTACTTATTATAATGTTTCCAAATTTATTTTTGAATTGTACTTAACACATAATATAAAAAGTATGGAAAATGTAAATATTTGTCGTGTTTTATTATAAATAAAAGTAAAGACAATTAAGAAATCAATTAATCAAATGATAATGCCGTGTTCATTTGGACTAAGGATAAGTGATTAAGTGGCATCTTACATTCATTTTAATAACTAAAATTAAATCGGTTAATTTAGAATATTCTATAAAGAAAAGAATAGATCTGGAGTGAAACATAAATTTAATTGCATTGTCAGTTATGCTATTCAGAGCTTCATTAGATCTTTGCTTCTAGACCAGTTAATTTAGATGATAGAACCATACACTATAAATCCAGTGTTATCATTTGATTAATATAGAATTTTTGGTATAGTTTCCTATATAATTATATATTTGAAGTCAATGTTACCAATTTTTTAGTTTTAGAAATTTAATATTTTTAATTTTAAATAAAACATGAGAATTTTTGTCGGAATGTATTTACTCAAAATTTAGAATAATTTTAATTTTAATATTGTATCTTAATGCAAATTCAATTTTTTTTCATATGATCCATAAGCTGAAATTAGGTGAAGATTACGACCCAACCGAACTGATTTTCAGTGCTTGCTCTGATATCAAGAGAACAGGTAATTAACGACAATTATTTCCAGTGTTTTGATATATTTATTTATGTTTAATTAATGTGGAATGTTTAAACATTATATTAACTTATAAAATGAGAATCGGCACGTAGAGCAGGCAATGCGATTCTTCAAGGCCAGGCAAATTGCTGTCATCGACGAGAGGTAAGAAACTTAGCAATCGACAAAACTGCTGTTCAGATATCATTTCCCGAAACAACGAATCGGATTGGGTGGGAGAAGTGTACCAGTATATTGCGTAATCTGATGATTCTGTGCGACCCGCATTTAAAATACATGCCAAAAACCCTTTCATCTCTNACTTATTTTTGAGTTTTATTTTCCTTGTTTTTGCTTAGTTATTTTGTTGTATATATTTGTTGTTATTTATTTATTTATTTATGTAATAATATCTTATGTTCGTTAGTGTGATGTCTTAAAATTTTTACCATTTGCTTTGGCGCAGCTTAGCCTAAATGGCTCTTGTGCCAAAAAACTAGAACAAACCAACCAACTAAACGTTTTCAGCCAAATCTATTGGCCATCGTCAGGCTAAGTTTTTTGAATACAAACGAAATAGAACAAAAATTTTAAATACAAAAAATAAAATAACGAATGAAATATATATATATAAATGTATAAAGAAAAAGAAAATAAAATAAAAAATTTTATCATAAAATATGTATATGAAAAATAAGTATAGGATAATTAAACATTAAAAATATAACATAATAATACATTATTCTAAATTCTATGAAACGCAAGATATGCTAAAAAACACAAAACAAGGCATTAAGATCTATCCAATCGCTTGATTAAGTATTTCCAGGCGGAAGGCAACCCTTCAGCATCTCTAGAATTAATGCATGCATCATGCAATCTGCTCCTGTATATTTCAATCTTTTCGGTGCAAATCGCCAAAGTTGGTGAATGTAATTGTTTAATACCCCTCGATGTGGGTTCCTGTTCGTGGTGAGGGGACCTCCCAGAGATGGTTTAGTAACTCTTCTTTACCATCTCTGGGATCTGAACGCCCACCCAAGTGTTTGCCGTACGTGGTATCCCGTATGCCGGAAAGGGGGATCCTGGTAGTTGAGGGGCAACATAACGTCCCCAACACACTGCTTTGGCCTCTGCTTCGGATAAACGGGAGGCTCAAATCAGGCTCCATTTGAGTCAATCGGCTGGTCGTTGAGTCATTCTAGACCTCGGCTTGGAGTCAACTGATCGATGCAGACCGGGCAGACACGTCAGACAAGATGTGCTCTTCCTGACTGCATTGTGAGGGTACAGCTCCTGGGAAACCCTGGTGTGACGGTCTATGGGACGCTCCCATGTGACGGCATCCCCTTGTTGGGCCCCATGGTGGGTGGGGTCACTAGGAGCTGAAATATTATTATTTAATCATGGATCCTAAACCTTCAAAAAATAAAGACAAGCCAGAAAACACTGCCAGTCAGCCATCCTACTTAATAGTGCATGCTACTGGAGAAAAACCTTTGTCAAAATGCTCCCCTTTTTTGATTCAGAAGTTATTTGAATCAACGATCGGACACCTGAAAAAAACACAAAAACTGAGGTCAGGAGACCTATTTGTAGAAACTGTTTCAACTAAACAGTCGGCAAAACTTTTAGCTGCAAAGAAATTGGGAGACATTGAAGTCACAGTCACACCACATGGAAGTTTGAACTCTTCACGTGGTGTGATATCTGAGTTTGATCTGATGTCTGAAGATGAATCAGATATTTAGATGAACCTTTCAGACCAAGGTGTCACTGCTGTTAGGCGTATCTCGATACGTCGGGATGGCAAGTTAATACCAACGAAAAATTTAATTTTCACCTTTAACAAGCCGACATTGCCATCTTTTATTACAGCAGGTTATCTGCGCTGCCCTGTCTGTCCGTACGTTCCAAATCCGCTGCGTTGTTTCAAATGCCAGCGGTTTGGACATTCACAGATATCCTGCCGAGGAAAGAGCATATGTGCACAGTGTGGGACTGAAGGTCACGAAAATACTGAGTGTACCAGTACCCCATGCTGTGTTAACTGCAAAGATGCCCATCTTTCTTACTCCCGAAAATGCCCTGCATGGCAAAGAGAAAAGGAGATACAACGGGTGAAAACAGTAAACAACTTACCTTACCCAGAGGTGCGCCGAATGGTCACTTCAAGTGCACCACTAAAACAAAAGACATTCGCTGCGGCTTTGAAGTCCACAAAAACATGTGGAGTTCAAACCGACATTTCTGTCTC